AAAGAGAGTCCTTTTGTTAAGAAAGTGCGAGTAAGAATAACGAGGTCCGTTACAACGCGTTTGTAGAACTGTGTATTTAACAACACATGCCAAATTGTTGCAAAGAACGCCGAAATACGCAGTTAGCACTTACGCGTAAAGACTCTGTACCACGCTGTCGGCGTGCTGCTATAGTCAAGTGTAGCGAAGAAGGAAGACTGGACGTGAATTCTGGTGGGGGACGTGAATAAATGCGACAAGAAAGAAGAGTGAACGTGGGTCTGAAGGCAGCAGCACGGAGACTGCGCGGACACCTGGACTAAGGAGGAGCGACCGTGCGGCCGGGATTTGGCTCGAAGTCAGTTGTACGGCAACGTCGGGAGAACGGACAACCCACTGCTGAAAGCGCGACGGCAAAGGTATACAGAATTAGACAGTAGAAATACTAAACTTTACCAATTTTGCATAATCCGGTAGATTTCGTTGCGGTCAATGTTACGAGTGAAAACCGCAAAAAGGGCAACCGGGCAAAAGGGCCTTGCCGATTCATTGGATTTTGAGAAAATTGTAAATTGACCGCTATTTATTTGGTTAACCACTTTCAATGCTTACATAAGCGAACACACATTGCAGTGATTATGTTGCAGTATGAACGAGCTGATATTGAATTGTGGTTTCTTGTGTGCTAACATCAAAGGTTTTCTTCCTTTTACTCCATAACATCAGCATTCTGTAATTTCAAACGCTATTTTCTTGAAAATGTTCCTACTATTTTCTTTAAATTTTTTGAACGGGTAGTGTTAAATGGACTAAACAACAAGACATCAAAGCCAGTTTGATCTATTCTTTTGTTTTTTTTGAAATACTACATAATTGTAATTTTTTTAAGTATCTCCCAAGCATTTAATATTTTTCATTACCAGTTATTTGTATTTGTGAGTAGTTATTACCAGTTATTTCATTACCAGTTATTTCAAACAATTTCTTATAAAGTTTCCTCAAAGAGAAAGAGGTTTGGGTGAAATGAGCTTCAAAATAATGCTCAAACGACATCTTCTCAAAAAATGGCTCCAATTTTTCAACAAAAAATTATGTTTGGGATCGGGTTTACTTTTCTATAATATTCTTAAAGTCATATTTCTGTTCAATCATTTGGGCGCTGAAAAATGGGAAAAATGAAGTTTGGACAGCGATAGATTGCTGCTGGGAAAACAGCAAGGCAACACCGCAAACCCGACACAGATCAAAGTCACGTACAGTCTCGCTCTAGACGT